GTATACTCTTGGAAGTCAAGCTTCCTCTGTGCAAGGTGCCGTGTGCCCCGTCACACATGGTCATCCAAATCTTTTGCGCTCAGCGGGAAAGATTCTCTCCGTCTTCGCTCTCGAAGGACTTTACTTTTACCGTTGCTCTGTATGGGATGGTGGCGTTTCCACCGACCAACTTAAACTTTCCAAGAGGAGTAACCTGACTAAGTCAAGCGAGTAGTACTACAATGAACGCTGTGCTCGCAGTTGTTCCACCAAACCGGATCTTGGACCGCCATTGTGCGATCCCACGTGACTAATTCAAGCTAGGAACTTATTGAGCCAGTCTTTGTCAGATAAACTAACTTTAATGTTCCATCCTCACAGGTTGTACATTCTTTCTTAACACTCAACAAAATTTTGCGTCGTAGATTATATGCAAGGAGACCTAGTCAATAAGATGTTCAAGAATCAAGTGCTCAAGTTTAAGAACAGTTAAATCTATTTATTTATAATTGACGGCTGTCGTACTCGCATTACATTTACAATATGCGCACTGCACCATCTTGTTGGTGTCTCCTTACAAAGATATCGTACCTTGCACCTGATTTCTCTGTACTTTACCAGAGAGTAACAGAAACACGAACTGCTTGTATTAAGGACGAGATCACTGGAATATACAGTCAGCTAATATGTACACACTGAGAGCGTGATATTCAGCTCAAGCAGCTGATAAGACTTTAATAGTAGGGAGGCTCGCCCGTCCGACAGAGGTGGGATTATTTGATTTACGCATTTGATAACGGACCCCACCATAGCTAGTTAGCTACTGGACGAAATACAACGCCGGGTGTTTACTGTTGCACGAGTGCTTGGTAGCTCTCCTTGATAGCGCTATAATGTTTTCTGGATATACCAGCAGCATTGACATTGCCAAATTGATTTGATTCAACTTGTATTATCACGTTGATCCGATTTCAATCCGAAGTCTTTTTTCATGGCCGCCAGAAAGAGGAAAAGTTTTTTCCAAGCCGCCAAAAGAAGACAATGATTTTTGTAAGCCGCCGTTTAGGAGTTAAAAAAGCTCGCTTTCAAGCCCCTGGATGGCAATTTGGTCCCACAACATCGTGTCATTTTCGTGCGCACACCTCTGCAGTTTGTACCCAGTAGTACATAAAGTCTTAGCCCCGTTAATTTGCTATTCATGCGCTCTAATAACTCTTCACAGAAAAGCAAGCACCTCGAACTTTCAGTCATAAGATTGAAAAATTTGCAGACATAAGCTACTTGGAAGTGTGAAAGAGACATCGACTGCCAGTCTTCGCATATCGTCTGCAGCCCATTATGTCGCAGAATATGTCTGAGGGCTCCGCTCGCGCTTTACCGTCAAGCACTTTATTTGCCAAGGGCGTCATGGCTGCATGATAAGCCTCCGGATTCTTCTCCATTTCGAAGCGTTTGTAATTGTCTTTCCAAAGATATTTGCACTTATCCGCTGGCAAATTGCCCAAGCTCCACTCAAGCGCAAGCAACTGCTCCTTCTGAATGTGCTGCTTAATACAGCGACGGGATCTGCGCCGCAAATATGGCCACTTCGTTGACATTTTCGTTCTACTCCTTTCCGCCCGAGCGAGCAATTTAGTAGCACCAGTAACAGCCGAAGACGATGTCATAACGCGGTGCTCTACTCCATGCACGCCAGTCGCATAATGACTGGGTCCGAGTATAAACCATACATTACACTTTTCGCTGTAAAGCTGCAGCGCGTTAACGCGGCAGCCATGGCATGCGCGGACGCTATAATTGCCCTGCCATGACAACTCTAGCTCCAGTTTGTGAATCAGACACAAGTGGCCACATAGCTGCAGCCGTGGACATTGCGGACGCACACACACGTCACGAATTAAAAGTGTACGCTTATCTTTCGTAAGGAGCGGCTGCCATCGCTTCTCGTGCTTGTCACTGTCCATGCATGATTCACACAGCACGAGCGCCGGTTCCCCCAATACGCGCTCCATTTTATTTCGACACAATTGTTGAGCAATGTTATAGGGGGATGGCGTGACAAGCAAAAAACGGTCGGTGTAATCCTATAATATAGCATAAATATATCCTGAGTAACAGCCTGGGGATCTAACTCAAGTCGAGCGCGTAAAGTGTCCCCAGAGAAAATTATACACAACAAGTCTTCGCTTAGGCAGAAAAGATGGCCGAGGAATTGAGCAAAGCCTTAATTATTGAGAGTGAAGAGACACCATTGCCCAAAAGCCGCATCATTCAATTAAAGTCGTCTGTATCCCGCGGCTCGATGGACCGCCATTCGCTCGAATCCGGACGCTTTTCAGTCAACAGTAGTCAGGGCCGACAATGGCGAAGTGGATCTTCGCCCCGCAGCCATTCCAGGCTTCATTATAGAAGTAGTGAAATCACACGCAGTGGGTCTGCCAAGTTCGAGCGAGTGAGTTACGACACCTCGAGAGGACACAGCAGTGGAGCTCATCACCATAGAGAGCGCGTGTTTTCGCGTTCCAGAGGTCGATCAGTCTCTCGCTCGCCTTTAAGAGCATCGCAAAGCATGATTTCTTCCTCTAGATCTCCTCTTCAAAACTCTTCAAAGTCTCGTCAGAAACGTTCCCGGTCACGCTCACGCTCTCGATCAGTATCACCCCAAGATCATCGCACATATTCTAGCTGGGAGCGAAGCGAACATAATATATCTAGGCGGGGTGAACCCGAAGAGAATTTTGACAACCGTCTTTCTGGGCGCGAGCAAGATTCAAGATCACGAAATAGAGGACTTGGAGGGGCACGAAGCACCGTTTACCATTCCGGTAATCGATTTTACCCCAAAGAAGTGCGCTACAAACCGGCAGTGCTGATGCCCCATCGCCGATCCATGAGTCGAGACAGAGGAAGCAGTGAAGGAAGAGCATCAACTGCCAGCAGCTATCGGAGCTGGCGGGAAAGAAGTCAACCAGATATTGACCCAGGATACCATGCACGATCAAGCAAACAAGACTTAAATAGCAGGTCTATGTCACTCTTACGCACCTCGAGTTTTGCGGCTGACAATCACCAAGATAGGGAGCCGTCAATGAGTGCAGAGGAAGGAGAAGAAAAGCCTGAGCAAAGACAAAAAAATATATGTAAGAAAGCGGCTGAATCGATTACGCCAAGTGAAACGGGTAGCCTCGACCGGGACTTGATGAGTAGAACTGAGGCAAGGCGACCGAATTTATTAGAAGCTTCGGCGTTACCGCCTCGTCCATATACTAGTCGCCACACATCAGTACGGTTTGAAATGAAGTCATTACGAATGGAGGAAAGTCGTGATCTTGTCAACTGTGAGGGCGTTGACGAGAGTTCAATTACGATAAAGGATAATGTGGATACCCAGAAGCTCGCGCATTCACGAATCAACTCCAATAAGGGAGTTGAATGCAAAAGAAGCCGAGAAGAGGAACTGAATAGAAGGACTTCTTGTGCAGTCATAAATGATCCTACAAAGAGAGAGGTTATTCCATTGCTAGCGGATAAATGTTCGGTCACTACTGAAGCACTTGCTCATAATTCCGAAGTTTGCGGCTTTGACAAAACCGCAGCTACATCGGCAGTGCATGCTGATATGGAAGGGATCAAAGTTAAAAAGACAGAAGATATCGAACTCAAGGACGACGCGAAATCTAACACTGAAAGTGATGCTACATCCCCTTCAATAATGATGAGTACTGTCGAAATTGGTGACTCGAAAGATAATCGACCGAAAGCGCATGTTTTGTCTGTTAAGACGCAGGGCATTGATGACGTTGAAACGGTTGTGCTTGAAGAAAATTCATTGTCTGTCACCAAACAGGAATCTTGTTCATCTGATATAAATTTTAACGTTTGCAATAAGCCAAACAATCTTTCGATCCGAGAAGAGTTGGACTTGCCTTTTATTGCGGACGAAAATACGTCACAAATGAAAAAGTGGCCTCAACTTGCTCGCAAGATTACGGATGACAAGGACGGGATTGATCAGATTGAAAGTGCCACTCAAAGTGATGCTGCTGCTGTAAGTCCCGCATCTAATTGCTTGCGCAAAGCAAACGATTTGATCCAAAGAGAAAGGGATGATATGTTGGCGGCGAATGTAAAAATGGTTGCTATCGAAAGGGGTCACGATGATTCAAGTAGAACTACAAACACAGCCGATCTTATCTCCAAACAAACTAGTAATGTTGTGTGCATCGACGGTGAGAACGAAGAAGTTGAGGAGGGCGAGATGGTTACAGGAAGTATCACAGCAAACACCGAGGGAACAATGCATGGCTTCATTTGTAAGAAAGAAGAAGGTCAGACGGACGATAATTTTCATGCTTCATTCGATGATGTGCAGGAAAGAAATCGTCCACAAGATACTCGAGGTGTCAACTTTTCTCAAACTGTTTATATGCGGTCAAAACTCAAGCGGAGTAGAACTGATCCATTGTCAATCGTGTCCGACGGCTTCAGTAAACCTCGATCGACTTCTTTTTCGTCGATCAAATCGTCAAACGTTGACCGATTCGGAGAAAGTAAGGACACTATCCAAACAGAGCCAAAATATACCCCGAATAAATTGCATGGACAAAGTCAAAAATTCTCGCCTAAGCAGCAAGGCGAGCTATCACTTCCTGTTTCCAAAACTTCGCTGAGTTTAAGTGAACATTCAGAAAGCGATCAGCTTTTGTCGTTAAAATCTCAGCACGGTGTGGATGCCTCAGGATATGCTTGTGAAAGTAAATCGTCCCGCACAATTGTATCAACGTCTTTTCGTACACACATATTGGAGTCTGACAAATACAGCGCAATTGGCCGGCAAAGATTATGTAAGGATAAGACCATAAGTGATAACTGCTTGACAAAAAAGCTGATCGACACGAGTGCCCAACCATCAATACAGTTAACTGAACGGGCAGAAGCTTCGAGAGATATAATCACAAACGGTTTTAACTGTCTAGATTGTGGAGCACGTAAATCGCAACTGCAGGAAGAGCCACCAGCTCTCCCAAATATACCTCTTCCAAGCGCTAAAATTGATAAGAATACATCATCCGATGCCCGTGGAGATGCAATTTTGACGAAGCGACATCGTCCACGTTTGGGGTGGGGACAAGGGCTTATTGTTCAGAATTCACCGACTCAGTCCGCAAAGCGACCACGTATTGGATGGGGGCAGGGTCTGATGCAGCAAAAAGACGATGTATGGAATGAGAGTGACAAAACATCAGTCGCGGCTTTAAAAAGACCTGACGATTCAAATGCCATCACGGTTGAAGATGAATCTATTGTGGGGGCTTCCGTATGTTTGGCTGTCAGAGGAGAAGGTGCTACAGCTATGTCTGACGTTGATTCGTCAAGCGTGGGATGTGAGTCTCAGATTGGATTGATGTTAAAATTGAGAGATGAGAAGCACTTCGAGGAATCCACCGCTAAACAATTTATGACTGAGGTTTTTAAAAAGGCTGACAAACAGAAGACGCAAGATGTCTGTGATGTACAAGAAGTCATAACATCAACTAAGCCATCAAAAGAAGAGATTCTCTCTTCAATTGACGTTCTCGATTCCGATATCACTAATGTCAAAAAGCAGCTCAAGGCTCTACAAAGAATCATTGCCGTTGCGAATATTGAGCAGAAATTGTCTATAGAACCTGACTCGGATATTATTTTAGAAAGTCTTGACTCTTCGACCCCAAATTCTGGCCTAAATAGCGTATCAACTAGTTTAAAGTCGAAGATCAGCTCACCAGAATCTATAGCACCTTTTCAAACGAAGGAGTCTTTGGTGAAGGCAGCAGTGGATTCGGAATTCGTTGAAATGCTTGCTGGCATCTTTTCGGATAACTTAGTCAAAATTACTGCAGCTAATGGGCAACTTCCTAAGCGAATTGAGGACGGTCATCTTGCGACCAAGATTTACCATCAACCAAGCGACTATGCATTTTACCAAAATAATCTTAACCGCGGATCTGCCCTTGCTAACCAAGTTAGATTGAAGGTGCGAATGCGAAATCGTGCTCGTCATGTTTTTTTTAAGAAACTTGCGCGAGATTACGTGGATCTTAAAAAGTCATGGAAATTAGGAGTGAAAAAAATGGAGAAAGATCGTAAACGGCTAGACAAGTACCGTCACAAGCAGCTACAAAAGCAAAAGCTAAACAGTGCAAGTGATTGTGGACCAATTCGAACGACAAATACTAGTCACCAGAGTCCTCATGTCCAGCAGTTGGTAGCAGCTGAAAAGGCCGCCGAAGCTGCTTGTGAAAGTACAACGGTGCGAACTTCGTCTCGACTGACGAATAATTCTAGCGCTGACTTGGAGAACAACGATTTGGAAAAAGTCGAACATGCAAAAGCCCAGGCTATCCTTGACCAAGAGGTGCGAAAAAAGCGATTAAAAAATGCCTTATCGACCATCATACCAGATATGCTCATTAGTTCGTTAGAACGACACCAGAGGTATTTTTATCGCTCCGTCAATGGGCAAAGTTGCATGGCCGATGGATTAGTGGTGGATTGGAAATTAAAAGAAAAGGCAGAGATGAAAATCAATCCGTGGAACGATCTCGAAAAATGTATATACGTGGATAAGTTTTTGCAGTACCCAAAGAACTTTTCGCGCATTTCGTCCTACCTGAGCAACAAAACGACGGGCGATGTGATAGCCTTTTATTACCGTACTAAAAGGGTAGCTGACTATAAAGCGCTATTGCGAGAGCAGCAATTACGGCGCCGAGGTGCCGGATCAAAAAATACTTGGAGCTGTTGGAATCTGTCAGCTTGTGCAGCGATTCGCCTTGGCGTGCAATTTCCAGAGGTTGTTGCGAAATTGTTGTTACATCCTTCGAACTTTAGGTCTCATCAAGCTTCCGATAATATCCTTAATTCGTTTGGTGCTCAGCGCGTATTGCGCGGCCTGGATACAAAATCAGTGGCTGGTCGCAGCATTAAAAGAACTATAGGCATTGCTGAAGGGAAGTCTGCTATTGATTTGGTGTCTGGGCCAGACCACACTTCATGCATTCGCCAGCTAGCGTCAGAATTGGGATTGCAACTTGAAGACTCCACCAGCTCTGGAGATTTCGATTCTTTGGATGAGACCAAGTTCAATCTGTATACGCAGCAACTCAAACAATTCGTTGCCGGACAACAGCGACCATTTTTAGTTGACTATGCATCATTGCTTTCTGATAATTCGTACAGCACAGGATATGAAGTTTTGACCATTTCAACAGAAGAACGCTTAAAAAAATATCCGGATTCAAGCACCGAGGTTGAGACTGCCATCGATGTAGTCAAGGACAGTAATTCTGATGGGCAGTTAGTAGATTCTACAAAAGGGAAGCAGTGGAGTCAGGCTGTAGGGCTTGGCGCATACTTAGAAAAGGGTGGAATTAACATGACGAAGAAAGAACCAAAACAGCAACGAAAGCCTAAGAAATTGCAGGAAGGGGCGGCGGAATTGGCTGGCGCAATAATTCCCATGTCAGGGCAAGATTCTATCCAATTGAGTGGAAATGTAGGCGGAGAGAAAAGTTTGGGCCACAATAGGAAAAAAGGGAACTCGGGCACGTCTACCCCGAATATTTCGGCAAGCAATCGCAGCAGTCCTCGTATATCCATTCCAGGCGACTTGCAAGCTGGAAAGAAATTAAATCGAGGTGGAGGTGGAACGCCAGTTTCACGTCGGAATAATCATCAGGCTCCATTGATTGCCTCCCACGCACCACCTAATGCACTACTAAATTCAGCAGGAATGTCAATGTCTGTGTCGACAACCGCACCTGGCACAGGGCCAGTACCGAAAAGCGTATGTGGAAAAATGACGCCTCAAGTTAGCGCAAAGGCCATCTCACCATCGGCAACTGTTGAAGCGAGTAGCGGTAGCTTAAATGCTGCACCTCCTGCAAAACGTGTGGTGCAAAAGTGGACAGAAGGAGAAAAAGCGGGCTTTTTGACGTATTTTTCGGTACGTTAACCATCGCTTACAATGTTGTGGCAAAGTTTATGTTTTTTTACCTAAAGGGAATGTGAACTGTATGTGGTATGTATGATAGCAATTCGGAAAAGACTGGTCAACACTTACAGAGAAGATCCCAACAAAGACTGCTGCGCAGATAAAAAACTACTATCAAAACTACAAAAATCGACTGAATCTTCAAGATATTTTGAAGCGTCGAATCGAGTGTGCGGCAGCCAGTGGAGGTAGTACGAGTGGTACGGCAATAGCTGACATGGCAAGTGGAAATGGTTCTGTTTCGCCTCGATCTGCTGCCGCTGGGCTGATGAGCGGTTCGCTGAGGCAAATGGGTCAGTCGGTTGATTTTCATGTAAATATTTCAACTGGAATGACAAATAAATCAGTGGCAATCAATTCAACTGATCCAATCATGTCATATCAAGTTGCTCTTACAGCAGCTCAGCCTGGACTTCACGGTGTGAGCATGCTACCAGAAATTCCGGTAAATCAGTACGGGGTGCGGCCTCACCAAGACCAGCAGCAGTCGCATGAAATAATGCATTCGGTAAGTAATTCGGAACGTTATCTGAAGTTACTGAACATGCAACATCAACTGCAGCTCATGCAGCTTCAACAGCAACAAAAGTCTCAAGGAGTGCCCACAGAAGTAACGAATAACTCTTCGTATCACGAAAGTCAAATGAATACTGCTCAGCAACTGTACCATTTCTCACGTCTGCAACAGCAGCCACAAGTGCCTTCGCAATATGTGTCAGTGCAAGCGCTTCAACAGATGGGACTCCAAAGTCACACACAAACTTGTGAGCACAGTCAGATAATGCAGCTGTCGAATCAGCATCAACAGCAAGCGAGAGCTTCGTACGGAGAGGTGAGAAACTCCAACAATATTTATCAAACAATGCCGAATCAACAAGTAATGGGCAATGCAGCGAAGATGTCCCCAATGCACGCTCAGCAGTATGACAGCCAATTAGATTTTAGTAGCAATGATGGAACAGATGGAGGTGCGGTTGTAGCAAAGAGTAATGTCGGAATCGATTCAAACCAGATGGGATGTCATGACATGGCTCAGCACTCGATAATAAATACGACCATGACGAACAATGCTACGAGTGACAAAGGCAATTTGACTCCGCAGGGTATTACAACCAAAAATCCGCATCAGCCCCCACTCGCTCCCTCACGTTTAGTTTCGATGGACGCAACTAAACAAGGAGATGCAATTTCTCGTTTGAGTACGTGGAGCTCGACATCGGATACTATTATATCAGAAGACGTTTCATCAAACAATGCAACTCAAACAGCAATCGAAAATGGGCGAAAAGGCTGTGCTGCGCTCGTACCACCTGCACCGCCTCTGATTCAACCCATGCGCAGTCGCATGTCATTTTCATCCATTTTGAACGAGTCAGAGTCACCACGGGATGACTTAACACCTAGAGGCCAAGGCTCGATGGTTGTTTGCCAGCAAGAATCACCACACCAGCCGCCTATGCAGCAGCAAATGCAACAGCAGATGCAACAACATATGCAACAGCAAATGCACAAGCAAATACAGCAACAGCGACAACTTCGCGTCGATCATGTGCGGGTAATGACGCCTACATCTGCCGACCTGGCACAATCTTCAGCAGGCGCTCCTAGTCCGACTGCCCATCTACTGCCTAGGGGATCTTCTGCTCCGCATGGCCGCATAGGTTTGATGTCAAGCCTGTTAAGCATGCCTTCTTCCGATCGGAGGACCTCAGCTCCTGGTCATCAATCACCTTTGATACATCAACAGCAACTGCAACGCCAGATGCAGTCAACTCGTTATTACGATCCGAGCACAAGCACAACCGACAGTTCGGGAATTGCGGCGCGGGGCTCAGATGTCACAATGGCAAGCGGCATGTCTGTGTCTTCTACGATACCATCTTCTGTACCGTCCGCAATAGCGCGTACGAGTCCATGCGATAAAATGTCGCAGAAATCATTAAGTGTGGCCTCGTATACGTCGGCGTCAGCTCAGATGGCTGTTGCACTAACTCGCAGCGGCTCGGCGTCTTCTACCTCATCGGTCGTGTCAAACACGGGTCAGGCCGGAGACTTGCGAGTTCAGCAGCAGATGTGGAACTACGCACCGCATCTCCGCTTTGAAGAGGTTGAATTGCTACGGCGAGCTCAACGGGCAGAAGAAGAAGCCACTCGAGCACGAGCCGCCGCGGCTGCAGCTGCGAAAGCTCTCCAAGAAGCCCAGCAAGCTCGGCAGCAAGCGCTGGACATGGCGGCCAATATGGCACGATACAATAACGCAATGCAGCAGCAGCAAGCTCAAGCGCAGCAGCATCAGGCTGCTCAAGCTCAGCAGGCCCAGCTTCAAGCTCAGCAACAGCAACATCAACAGCAACAGCAGCAGCAAGCGCAGCAGTACCAGCATCTCCAGCAATACCAACTTCAGGCAAACCAGTACCAGCAGATGCAGCAGCACGAGTACCACCAGCAGCACCAAGCACAGCAGCTTCATCAGCAGCAAATACAGCATCAAGCGCTCCATCATCATTTGCAACTGATGCAACAACAACAGCAGCAGCAACAGCAACAGCAACAACAACAACAACAGCAACAGCAACAGCAACAGCGACAGCAACAGCAACAGCAACAGCAACAGCAACAGCAACAGCAACAGCAACAGCAACAGCAACAACAGCAACAACAGCAACAACAGCAACAACAACAGCAGCAGCAGCGACCGAAGGTTTCACCCAGTGATCACCTCCTGCAGCAGCAAATGCATCAGCAACAACAACTGCAACAACAACTGCAACAACAACAGCCGCAACCACCGCGCGGGCCACAGCCGGAGCGGTAGCTATAACTTCCAAAGACAAGGCAAATCTAATTCCATTGCAGTATCAAGTTTAACTTTGATGGTATCAAATGTGCTACGATTTTTTTCATTTCGCTTCGATATTTTCAAGTACAAACTCGTCAAGAAACTAGGTGATTAGGCTTAAGCGTTGTCGTCAGATGTCCGTACTTCATGCCAACCTTCACGGGAAACCTTATCCACTAACATGTCCACAAATTAAGTATCTAAAAAAAACGACAAGTAGCTGGTGAAAGATTTGATAATTAGTGATATTTGCCGGTTGGCAGAGACAGTATCAACTCACTTCTTGCATTTTATCAACGTGGGTGAGACGTGGACCAGGAAGCCGTCGGATTAAGTCCCTTCAAAACTGCCTCCGCCCTTTCAAAATAAAAAATCCGGCAATCTCAGTTATGGCTAATGACCACGCAGAGGAGATGGAGCTACGACCTTTAACGGATGAAATGGATTCTAGTAAATTCAATTCACAAAATAAGACGAAATCTTCTAAAATTGCAAAGCGCAACACAGAGAAAACGTCACACAGGCACCAGCACGATTACAAACGTACTCAAACTAATAATCGGTTTCTGCGCACGACTCCGGGGCAATCAAACAATGTCGATTTTTCGGAACCGGATGGTGATGGTGAAAAGAGCGATAACAATCACGGTCGCCCAGATTTGAATTTCTTGACGCACAAAGCCACTGTAATAAGTGAGAACTTCATGGACAAAGTCATTGTAAATCGTACAGTGTTCTGTGGTGAATGGTTTCAACACCGTCGATCATTAGCGCCGGCATGGCATGATTTTCTTAAGCAGCTGAGGCTTCAAGAAGTATCAGGGCGATTTGTTTGTGAAAAAAAGAAGCGATGGATGTTTTTGGGAAATAGTACACTAGATCGTTTAGAAGAACGCTTTGAGAGGGAATTTACTGTCACTGAGGCAAACGGCAGAAATGGTAAACAAGAACGCCCAGATATGCTGATAAAGAAACTACTGTCACAAAGTGAAAACTCACTTTCTCGAAGACCGATAGCTGCTCATGATGACGTAGTTGATACGACCACAGTTCAGCTGGCTGATGCCCAAAACGATAGCCACGACTTAAAAAATTCTGCGCCAACCTTTGCGATACTTAAGCTTTTCTTAGACCGAATTATGCTGGATGATCACCCCACATTTACAGTTGCAGACCGTCTCACTGCTCAATTACGAGCTCTTTACAGAGCGTACAATAGAATGCAACAGTTGCAGCCGTGGCAGCTATCACTCCAGCGTCTTGAAGATTTCTATTTCCAGAGCACTAACAAGCCAGAGCGTTTAGCCAAATATTCTCTATCGACAAAACAATTGACTCAGGAACTTCAGCAACTTGTTATAAATCTCGAAGCTCTCAATCAACTTCACTTTCAAATTTTGACGAAGGTCGAACAATTGCACATTGCCGAGACTCATTCTGGAACTGGAATATCCGTACATATCAAGCGACTTCAGCGCAAGCAGCTCATTGATTTATCGCGTGTAGGCGCCGTCGTGGGCCTTCTGGAATCTTACACTAACCACCAACAAAATGAAGCAGCGAGATGTGATAATAATAAACAGCTTCTGGCAGTTAAACAATTGTCAAATTCTCTATCATCAATTCTATCAGCGTCGGCTTATTTTCTTCAAACTGTTTTACAGCTCAAGGAAAACAGAAAACACCAATTTTCGCTCAGTGAATCTTCTTCAAGGCCTCAAATTTATGTAATAATCCGCGTGAATGGAAAAATCGCGTGTAAGACTAAAGTCCAAGCCTGCAACCACGGTGAAGTTCGCTTTTTTGAAAACTTGTCTTTAATAGTGCCATTCTTCCCATCATCGATCTTTGCTGAAGTGTATGAACGCCGAAAGCTAATGCGCGACAAAATTCTTTCCACGGGCACATTCCCTATGCTAATTCCAGGGCAGACTGCTGTAAGGCCAGTAGCTGTAACTCGGCAAAATTTCGAAGAATGGGGAGACGATGATGTCAAAAACTTGGTGCCTGTTGCGAGTATCACACCTAGTGACGAATGGTACGAGTTTGGCAGCACAACTTCGATCTCACGAAAACGATGGCATTCTTCTTTCGACAATGAGCTACGAATGAACCAAACAAATCGCTATACGCACGGCAGGCTGCATCTTCGAATGTCTTGGGTATCAGATCAACAAAACTCAAGCATGACTGCATATCTCCCTCCCAAGCGTCTTGATATCGCTTATAAGCACGATAATTTAACTTCAAAAGTACAGCTTATCGGAAAGTCTGCATCCCATAGTCTCAAAGAGTCATCGCGAATTCTTAGCAACTTCAGCTTTAGTGAGGAGGAAGATTGTAATCGGGTGGATCAATCCCGATGTCTCAACCTCGATCCGATCAATCCTGACAATATGCAAGCTCAACGTTTGCAAAGAGACTTCCCACAGCAAAAAAAAGAAGCGCAGGTATTTGATTTCAACGGTCGAATTTTTTTTCAGACAAGCAATGAAATCAAATTTTTTGCTGGAAGTGGTCGTGGACTTACAAAACGCAATCGGCTTATACAAATTCGTGATCAAGAGTACGCCTCTCGACACGGAAACAGTGTAAGCAATGCGCTTGCATGCCAAGATAAAGTCGGCGTTCGACGATGGGAGCCGGAAGGCGCGGTGTTTGACGAACCATTGCCGTTGCTGGAGCACGAATTACTGACTGACAAGCGACTGCTTCGACATTTACGACCAGAACTGCGCGCATTTGATCGTCGCCTGCTGTATGATTCAACAAAACACGCGGAGGTGTCTATTGTCCAACGCTATCGAGTACAACAGCTTGTAAGGATTCAAGATTTTCGTGAGCGTGTGCGGCAAGCTAAACGTTTAAGTAATTTAAATACAGACCAGATTACTCAGGAAGGGCAAGTGAATCGGCCAAAACCGTTGACTGCAATTGTTCAGGAAAATCCACTGCCAATGTTTCCAGGGTCACTTGATTTGTCGGCAATCAAAAAATTACTTGCACCGCGGAGGCGCTTACGACCACGCCTTAAAGTGCCTGCCCCCTGTCAATCAGTAGCTCATTGGCCAACTGCCTGCACCTTGTATATCCAGTTGCACAAGGCAATCAACGTTCCGGTGAGAGTCAAGCGTTCAGGTCACCTTGAAAGAACTGTGACGACAGGAAGTCGACATCGTAACTTGTTGCAGCGAATGAAAAAAAGTCCTCGAATGTTGCTCATACCGTCTTCTGGTGAAAATGACACCATGCCTCGCGAAGACAATTTACTGGAATACGAAAGCCACATCTTTGTGCAGATTAATTTTCAGGGCAAAGTGCGACAAACCACGCGTGCTACTATTGTGGGAAGTTTCGATAAACAGGACGATAGTATCGGAGCAAATGCGTCGTGGATGGAAACTGTTGCTTTTCCGTTCCATCCTCCACGAGATGACTGGAGTCCTGACGGTATCGAAAGTACTCGAGAAGTTATCCGCTTCAGCATATTTGACCAAGTCACTCGTCCAGCGTCAATGAGTATGGACGAGGATCTGCATAATGGAGAAGAGCAATTCGGATCCCAGACACGGGCATTGCATCGAGAAAACTGTTTTCTGGGGAGCCTAGAAATTCCATTCCTGACAGTATACCAAGCTGGTCGCTTCGAAGGCTCATTGCGTTGTCAGATGCCAGTTGAGCACTTGGGTTACGCTAATCTTTCCGTTAATACAGCAAGCAAAGCTACATCAAGCACAATGGCAACTTTGTCAGATCCACCGTCAGCTGCCTCATCGTGCAGCGAAGCACCTCAACAGCTACGTAGTCGGGATGCTCCAATGTACAGCCCAGATAGACAAAGAAGATTAAGTTTGAAAAAGACACAAGCCCCAAAAGCCGAATTTATTGACTCTAACGGAAGCGATGGTGGTGATGAGCTTAAAGTTCGGAAAGTTACACGCGAATCCACTTTATTGAAAGTCACGTTGCTTTTAGACCCCGCTCTTCCTGTAAACACGCCAACTCGAAATTGCACTGACAGCATAGCGACCAGTAAGGAGAATTCGCAAAATAAAGCGATTTTCGCCCATGCACAGCGCTGGATTACAAATGTGAAGAGCAGTGCGCCGGCAAATGCAGTATCTTGTCGAAACTATAATGTTTTTGTACGTAACCTCAAGCATGGTGCAACGTTTCTATCTCAATTCTTGCGTGCACAATCACCACCAAAAGAACTTCAAGATGCCCCTCTGTTAGCGTTAGTGCACTATGTAAGCTTGATACCATCTTTGGATGATTGCGTAGCTGATACGGAAGAAAAAGACGTCTGGAATACCTCACACGAGGTTCTAGCCATGGGCGCTGGGGACAATGAAGAACATGCCGTGCTATTGGCTAATTATTTTATGTGGTATGATCACCGCTACCATAACGGAGGTAGTAGTCACTCTAAAATTTATCTCGTTTTTGGAAACGCCATTCCAGACGGCAACATCGTCTACGTGCTCCGTGAACAAGAGATCTGGAATGCCAGAACTGGTGTCGGATACGCTATTTCAGACCCTCACTGTCCACTTCGCGATGTGTCTCTTGTTGCATCTAGTACAAATGTCTTTGCAAATATACAGCCACTCGCGTTTACCTGTAATTCCTCAACTGGTAACGTAAATTGGAACATTGAAAACAATTTAAAATGCTGGAAACCATTCTTTTCTACTGATAGCATCATCGTGCCGCTGCCAAGTGTCCAGCATCGAAAGCTCGTTTACCGTGAGACTTCACCAGAGTTTGTAAATGAAGCCGAAGTAGAATTGAAAAAAATACTTAAGCTTGCCGTACGCCGCTGGAGAAGCACACATTTTGCTACAATTTTTAATGAAGCTGCGAGTCTTCAACTGCGAAATCATTTAATCATGCTTGAGTGCGAAGCTACCAATCAAAACGGTAGCAAAAGTACTTTGGCGACGCCAACGACATCGGCCAGCAAACTAGTGTCAAGTCCGCGAGCGACAACGAAGCTTAAACAAGAGCCGCAGTTAACATTTACTATGCCAGTACCAAATGTTAATTCTGGTGTCGCTGTATTGCGCGAAATGCAACGATCACACGAGGTCTGTGGTATACCGCTGCATTTATCGCTCACAAATATACCGCAGGTCCTCAAAATCGTCCAAAATACGGTGCGTGCTGCATTTCAAATACGAGTGTATTTTCTTTCTTGCTTGGTCTTTAGAAATAATGAGCGGTAATAACTTATCTACTCGTATCAATCGTGATGTGAACAGAACATCCACTACAACGAACGACAAGGTGTTGAGTTCGCGTTGGCCGTTTACGTATGCGGTTACCCCAATTGCCTACTTTCCGTGTGGGTGTATTTTGCAGCACTCGTACCGCTCTGAACAGAAGATGGATTAATCTGGAGTAGAATCTGTGCCACCTTGGCCTGGAGTGCTTTAAGCTTTGATGTTGCTTCTCCACGTGACTTTGCTGATAGCTTTTCTGGCCGAGATAAGTCGAGAACACGCTCACTGTCGAGTTGTATGCAGCATGACGTCGGTTCTAATCCTTTTTCAAAGGTAGCAATCAATGACCCGACAGGGGCCTTGGCATTAGCCACAGTACTGGAAACGATGGGGGAACCTCGAGCTGAAAAGATGGTTTCACCCTTGCGGGCTGTACGCAAAACCGTCGAAGGGACTTTTCCTATCCGACGTTGGTCCATGGGCGTTAAAAATGCTGACATACGACGTTTCCATGTATCGTGGTCTCTTAAAAACGCTTCATCTTGACGCTCGCTTATGTCATGATCGTCAACGCTGCTAGGAGTCGCAGCCACAATGTCGTATCGATTCACAGACGATCGAGATAGTAAAGGTGACGCTTGCATAGATTTTTGTGACTGAGACAAGCCATGGATAGCATTTTGAAAGTCACCATCGAAATCTTCCACGAAGGTTTTCCACGGCAGCTGACGGACGGCCTCTGGAAGAAAGAGCAACTGGACCTTAAGTTCCATCATGAGCTCTTGTGCACGTCTCTCCGCATCTGCCACCACTTCATCACATTTTTCCTGCACTATTCATATAGAGAGACGAAGAAAATTTAGTCATATAATCCTCTACAATTACATATGTATCGTCTGCACCTTGCGTCTCTAGCTCATCTAGTAGAGTCTCAAGCCGCTCCTTGCGTTTCTTCCTGGCCTTGAAGGCTGTGGAGCAACGTAACCTCTTGAAAGACTTCGTTTTTTTGCTTATTTTCCTTGGAGACCAACTTGCTTGAGTTGTATATGGGAGGCCCAAACGCAAGCTCTTAGCGACATCCAGCGCGTCGTCGGCCGCACGATCCACGACGGCATTTTCTCCAATGGCTTGCAGTGGCTCATTACTACTGATAAAACGCGTAGAGTTAGATCCATCAACATTACTTATACAGCGGGTGCGACGCAGAGTTCGCCCGGCGCGACGACGACCGGATGGAGCCATGAGGCCGATAATTAAACTCAGTTTGAAATTATATTGATGTGTAATAGTATTAATCAAAATATCAATCGCAAAACATTGCGAGCTGGTGATGATGAAATGATGACAACGTACGCTTCCCATGAATCACTTAACGTAGTGCACCCTTGATCCAAACTTCTAACTTGCCGAACATTACGCTCGTTAAGGTGCTTAGTGCAAAAATGAGCCCCATGATGCTAAGATACTCAAAAGCTGTGATTAAAACTTGCTCATTTTCCGTCTGCCCCCCTGTATACCAACGAGCGGTGAACATCTTCCTTTTGGTCCATATTTTGTGCGCTAGGTATGAGACCACGCCTGCCGTTAGCGCGCGTATCATGAAAGATCTTTCCTTGTGCGTAGCCGATAATGCTGCATTTTGTGGATTCTTGCTCTGCATTTTGCTGTGCGATATTTGAGTGCAAAGCGGTATGTCGTGAATAATTAAAGTACCCACATATGTATGGGGAAAATGCTTCTGCGGGTTTCTAAATTATGTAATCGAATGAAAGGAAGGTCGCTAAAGATTACTGACCATACATAGCCTAAATCGGATTCGGTATGGCGACAACAAAAAATAGCGAAAAGAGCAATGTGATATCATGGTCAGGGTAGTGTCAGTGTGCAAGTCCAAAAACCTGAAATAGGATAACAGAAAATCGTAATTTTCAACCTTTTTTGGTAGATTTTTAAAGAGAAAATAAAAAAAATGCCCCAGCTTTTGCCATATATACAAAAAATAAAAAAAACCCCAGCACGTAAATTATCACCGGGGTGCCGTAATATTACACAGCAGAAGATGTATTGTATTAGGAATGAATTAGCATAATTTAACAAAATACCGGGACATGGGCCATGAGACACCAACAAACTACCTACCCATTAGGTTCGATCCAAGGACCTTTGCTTGTATTTTGCAAGCGCTCTACCATCTGAGCTAATGTGGAACCTGGTTAGAAGTCACGTATTCTTTAATTTAGCTTTACTTGGTTAATAGTAAACTGAATG